GCACCGGCCACGTGGGCGCGGGGAGCTGCGCAGAGCTGAGCGGGCGGGAGGGCGCAAGCGCTGGCTCCTGCGGGTGTGGTGGGCCTCGGACCCCAAAGGAAGGGGGATCGTTGGCAGTGTGTGTGTGTGGGGAATGGGTGGGGGCTCCATCCCGCTCTGCCCACCTGCCCTGGCAGGGACCTACGACCGCAGCCCGGCCAGCCCTCGGCCAGCCCCGGGGGCACTGCCAGGCGGGCGCGGAGATGGCGGCCACGCCAGCAGAGGAAGGCGCCCCGAATTAATCTGTCACTGAGGCTGGGCCGTGGCAGGCGCAGTCATGATTTAGATGAATAATTGAAACGCTCCGATACATTTATTATCCCTTTAGTGCAAAAGTGGCAGAGAAAGACGAGGGGTAATTGAAAAAGCGCGCACAAATCTCCGCGAGAAAGCCGGCTCCTTATCGCCAAGTAAACATTTCAGTCCCAATAAACAGGAGAGACACGCGTCAGGGCCCTGTCGATTCCCACCCTGATTTAGGGCCCGCCTCCCTTCTTACCATACAATAAGAGAGTGTTTAAAAATATTTTTTTTTATCGAGACAGTAAAAGGCTCTCTGGGAGGGAGGAGGGAGAGCGGGCGAGGGCCGGCAGTCTCCAGGCGAAGGGTTTGGCTGGGAGGCTGGGTGGCCCTCTACCTGGTGGGCCTCTCCGCCCTCTGTCCCTGTTGAGCTCCTGTTCAGCCGTTAGGGCCCAAGTCAGATGTCCCCTCTGCTGGGAAGCCTTCTACCAAAATGGGTCTCTTTGGGGGCAGAACCGAGTCCTGAGCCCTCCCCCTCCAACACACCCTCAGAAAGAAAGAGCCCTGGGAAGGGGAGTAGGGGGCTTCCCAAGACTCACTGTTGCCAGAACCAGCTGGCGTTGAAGCTACACAACCTAGCGTAGCCCCAGGGCCTGGTGGGGGAAGCTGGGAGCCTGGGCCCTGGGGGTGGGGGAGTCTTTTGGCCCCAGCACCCCCTGGGGGCTTTCCCTGAGGTTGGGGTGCCCAGCAGGCTCCCTTCCCCAGAGGGCCAGAACCAGCGGGCGTTGAAGCTACACAACCTAGCGTAGCCCCGGGGCCTGGTGGGGGAAGCTGGGAGCCTGGACCCTGGGCGGGGAGTCCTTTGGCCCCAGCACCCCCTGGGGGCTTTTCTGAGGTTGGGGTGCCCAGCAGGCTCCCTTCCCCAGAGGCTGCATCCTCTCCACTCGGAATCACGGCGTCCAGCAGTAGACACTGTGGGCTGCTGCACCACAGCTCCGCAGGCCAGCTCCGTCCCCTTAGAGGGCCCCCTCCGGGCTGATGGCTGCCCAGGCCCCGCTGGCTCATTGCCGCTGTCCCTCTCTGCAGGGCTGGCCGGGCACCCGGGGCAGGAGACCTGGGTCCCACCTCCGAGGGCAGGACCCAGCACAGAGCGTGCCGCTAACTGCCCCACGAGATCCCCAGAACCTGCTCCTGGGGAAGGGGCGTTCCAGTGGGGACACAGGCAAGAGAACAAACATGACACAGAGTCCACGAGGGGGTCAGTGCTGCGGGGGAGGCACAGAGCAGGTGGGAGGAGGGCGTGGGCTGGGCCATTCTAAACCGTGGCCGGGGCAGCCGAAGGGACTCCTGCTGTTAAATGCCTGGGCGGCTGGGTAGATGGGTGGGTGGTGATGGGAGGAAGGTGGGTAGATGGGTGGGTGGCTGGGTAGATGGGTGGGTGGTGATGGGAGGAAGGTGGGTAGATGGATGGACAGCTGGGTAGGTAGGTGGGTGGTGATGGGAGGAAGGTGGGTAGATGGATGGACGGCTGGGTAGGTGGATGGGTGGTGATGGGAGGAAGGTGGGTAGATGGGTGGA